CCCTCCCCCCCCTCCCCCCCCGGGGTTTTTTCCACCCGGGATTGAAAATCCGGGATCAGGGCGCCCCCCCCGCCCCCCCCATTAGCGCCCCTCCCCCACCCCGCGGTAATTGGGGCGGGGGGGAGGGGCTGGGGGGGGGGTCAGAGCCCCTCCCCCGGTTCCGGAGGGAATTCCCGGATCCGGGGGAGCCCCCGGGCAGGGACCCCGAATGTCCCCTGGGGATGAGCCAATCCCGAATATCCCAAATCCTGAATATCCCAAACCCCAAATCCTGAATATCCCAAATATCCCACACCCCAAATCCCGCATTCCTCTGGGGATGAGCCAATCCCGTCATCCCAAACCCCAAATCCATCCTGAAATCCCGAACTTCCTCACCGTGATGATCTCCAGCACCTCGCCCTTGCTGACCTCACCGTTCCTGCACCCCAAATCCCGGATTTCCCCATTCCCAAACCCCAAATCCATCCTAAANGATTTCCCCATTCCCAAACCCCAAATCCATCCTAAAATCCCGAATTTCCTCACCGTGATGATCTCCAGCACCTCGCCCTTGCTGACCTCGCCGTTGCGGTCCACGTCGAAGAGCGAGAAGGCCCACTCCAGCTTGAGGTGGGTCTTGCCCGAGGAGGTGAGGTGCAGCGCGATGATGTACTCCCTGAAGTCCAGCGTGCCGTCGTCGTTGGTGTCGAAGCTGCGGAAGACGTGGCGGGCGTAGCCCTGCGGGTCCGAGTTGGGGAAGAAGGTGCCGTAGATCTTCTCGAACTCGGCGCGGCTGATGCGGCCGTCGGGGCACTGCCGCTGGAAGCTCTCGTACCAGCGGCACAGCTCCTCCTCCGAGTAGCGCGTGCTCGTCTTCAGGTCCTCCAGCACCTCCTTGGACAGCGCCCCGCTCTTGGCGTTGCCCATGGCGGCCACGGGGACGGCGAGGAGGAGGAGGAGGAGGAGGAGGAAGAGCCTGGGAGAGAAAAGGGGGAGAGGAGGGTCAAAATGAGGAGGAGGAGGAGGAGGAAGAGCCTGGGACAGAGAGAGAAAAGGGGGAGAGGAGGAAGGGTCTGGAGCCCAAAATGGGGAGGAGGAGGAGGAGGAAGAGCCTGGGAGAGAAAAGGGGGAGAGGAGGAAGGGTCAAAATGAGGAGGAGGAGGAGGAAGGTTCTGGGAGGAATGTGCAGGAAGGTTCTAGAGCTCAAAATGAGGAGGAGGAGGAAGAGCCTGGGGAGAAAAAAGGGGGAGAGGAGGAAGGGTCTGGAGCCCAAAATGAGGATGAGGAAGGTTTTTGGTCCTGGAATGTGGAGAAGGAAGGTTCTAGAGCCCAAAATGAGGAGGAGGAGGACAAGCCTGGGAGGGAGAGGAAAGTGTGAGAGGAGGAAGGGTCTGGAACCCAAAATGGGGAGGAGGAGGAAGAGCCTGGGGAGAGAAAAGAGTGAGAGGGCCCAAAATGGGGAGGAGGAGGAGGAGGAGGAGGAAGGTTCTGGGTCCTGGAATGAGGACGAGGAAGGTTCTGGGAGGAATGCGCAGGAAGAGGAAGGTTCTAGAGCCCGAAATGAGGAGGAGGAGAAAGGTTCTGGAACCCAAAATGAGAAGATGAAGGTTTTGGGTCCCAAAATGAGGATGAGGAAGGTTTTGGGTCCTGAAATATGGAGGGCGAAGGTTTTGGGTCCCGAAATGAGGAAGAGGAGGAGGAGGAAGGTCCTGGAATGGGGGGAAAATGAAAGTTTTGGGTCCCAAAATGAGGAGGAGGAGGAGGAGGAAGGTCCTGGCACTCCACCAAACGAGGATGAGGAAGGTCCTGGACCCGTGGAGAGCTGGAGGAAGATCCCGGACAGCCGAAAGCGGAGGAAGATCTCGGACCCACCAAACGAGGATGAGGAAGGTCCCGGACTCAAAACCGAGGCTGAAGGCCCCAAGGAAGGTTCCGNGATTTCCCCATTCCCAAACCCCAAATCCATCCTAAAATCCCGAATTTCCTCACCGTGATGATCTCCAGCACCTCGCCCTTGCTGACCTCGCCGTTGCGGTCCACGTCGAAGAGCGAGAAGGCCCACTCCAGCTTGAGGTGGGTCTTGCCCGAGGAGGTGAGGTGCAGCGCGATGATGTACTCCCTGAAGTCCAGCGTGCCGTCGTCGTTGGTGTCGAAGCTGCGGAAGACGTGGCGGGCGTAGCCCTGCGGGTCCGAGTTGGGGAAGAAGGTGCCGTAGATCTTCTCGAACTCGGCGCGGCTGATGCGGCCGTCGGGGCACTGCCGCTGGAAGCTCTCGTACCAGCGGCACAGCTCCTCCTCCGAGTAGCGCGTGCTCGTCTTCAGGTCCTCCAGCACCTCCTTGGACAGCGCCCCGCTCTTGGCGTTGCCCATGGCGGCCGCGGGGACGGCGAGGAGGAGGAGGAGGAGGAGGAGGAAGAGCCTGGGAGAGAAAAGAGGGAGAGGAGGGTCAAAATGAGGAGGAGGAGGAGGAAGAGCCTGGGACAGAGAGAGAAAAGGGGGAGAGGAGGGTCAAAATGAGGAGGAGGAGGAGGAGGAAGAGCCTGGGAGAGAAAAGGGGGACAGGAGGAAGGGTCAAAATGAGGAGGAGGAGGAAGGTTCTGGGAGGAATGTGCAGGAAGGTTCTAGAGCTCAAAATGAGGAGGAGGAGGAGGAAGAGCCTGGGAGAGAAGGGGGAGAGGAGGAAGGGTCTGGAGCCCAAAATGAGGATGAGGAAGGTTTTTGGTCGTGGAATGTGGAGGAGGAAGGTTCTAGAGCCCAAAATGAGGAGGAGGAGGACAAGCCTGGGAGGGAAAGGAAAGTGTGAGAGGAGGAAGGGTCTGGAACCCAAAATGGGGAGGAGGAGGAAGAGGAGGAGGAGGAGGAAGGTTCTGGGTCCTGGAATGAGGACGAGGAAGGTTCTGGGAGGAATGCGCAGGAAGAGGAAGGTTCTAGAGCCCGAAATGAGGAGGAGGAGAAAGGTTCTGGAACCCAAAATGAGAAGATGAAGGTTTTGGGTCCCAAAATGAGGATGAGGAAGGTTTTGGGTCCTGAAATATGGAGGGCGAAGGTTTTGGGTCCCGAAATGAGGAAGAGGAGGAGGAGGAAGGTCCTGGAATGGGGGGAAAATGAAAGTTTTGGGTCCCAAAATGAGGAGGAGGAGGAGGAGGAAGGTCCTGGCACTCCACCAAACGAGGATGAGGAAGGTCCTGGACCCGTGGAGAGCTGGAGGAAGATCCCGGACAGCCGAAAGCTGAGGAAGATCTCGGACCCACCAAACGAGGATGAGGAAGGTCCCGGACTCAAAACCGAGGCTGAAGGCCCCAAGGAAGGTTCCGGAACCCCGCGAGCGAGGATGAGGAGGGCGAGGAAGGTCCCCGGCCTTACTGGAAGGTTCCGGAGCGCGGCCGGGCTGAGGAGGAGGAGGAGCGGCCGGTGACGAAGGCTCCTCTGCGGGGCCGGCCCCGCTGCCGCCTTTATCGGGGGATTTCGGGGGGATTTTGGGGGGATTTGGGGGGATTTTGGGGGGGGAGGGGATGAAGGTGATCCCGGCTTAGCGCGGCCACGCGGGGAGGGGGAGGGGCGGCCCCACCCCCACCCCTCCCCCAAAAATGCCCCGAATGAGCCCAAAAA